GCGGGGAGCTGGGAGCGGGCAGGCGTCCCCGGGGCGAACCTCAGCCCCACTTGTTGCGGAGCGTCTGGGCCCCTAGGTAAATCTGCCTACGGTTTGGGCAGCTGGGTTCCCCCGTCCTCCTCAGTCCTTGAGGCTCATAGCTGGCGTTATTACAGCAATTAAACTGCCAGCAGCCTGCAGGTGTAACTCAGAGCTCAGCTGTCTTTAGTAAGGCTAAACTCCTACCCAGCTGTCATTGGGCTTCTCCAGTTGGTTTATAGTGGGGTGAAGTCTGGGGTGCTCGTCTGTGTTCTAAGCGTTTGTCCTCGCCCGTATTTAGTTTGGGAAATCGTTCACGCCCTTGTTTCCTTACATCCTTGACTCCTGTCCACATTAAACTTTTCTCCATGGTCTCCTGGAATCTGAATCCCCACAGGGTTAAAACGTAAGTCATTCTCAGATGACTTTGAAATGTTACCGTCTCATGATGGGTTGAAAATAACAGAAGCAAGAACCGACAGAGGCTGATGGCATGTCGAATGGCAGTTGTCACTGTTCTGAGCCTTCTTACCGTGTGATAGGGTGGGGAACGCCAGTCTTTAGTCGTGGCCTGCTCCTCGGGTCAGGGCTGGGGGATGTGCTGCTCCCTTGGACCAGCCACAGCTGCCTCTCGCTTCTCGATGGAATTTCCACCACTTCCAGCCTCCACGTTGGAAAATGGGCAAGGAAAAATGAGGAAATCCAAGACAGAAAGAGAGTGGTGACTTCATGACAAAGCGTCCCTAACTCTTTGGCTGGGCCACAGTGCCCCCAAGTGACCCCTGCCAGAGTTTGATTTTAAGTGCCCTATGTGTTTGGATGCCCACCAACCTGCTAATGCCATAATCCCCTTGGCGGTGGAAGCTAGAATTGTCCCAGCAAAAGGCTGGAGAAATTTTAAAGGCTGAAAGGGTGAGTGAGCCTTGCTCAGTAGGAAGTTCCCATGTGTTCTGAAGCCACGCCTTCTGTTCTTGTAATGAGTGATAGTTGAAGATCAAAGCCCCTGTATGTGTATTGGGGGCAATTCAAGGGCTGGGTAGGGGATACTGCTTGCTTCTCTAGAGGAGGCAGCAGGTTTGTTAGAGCTCAGGTGGTCTTTAGATTGATTTAATAATGATTAGTCACTGGATGGCAGCATTAAGGAGAGAAGACCTCTCTTTTCCTCCTTGAAGCTGGGTTTTTCTCTAGGCAGAGGAAGTAAATATAATAAACCCAATGCATGGGCGAGCCTGTCATGTTGCACTCCTGTAATCCTAGGCGAATTGGGAGGCTGAGGTAGAGGATCACAAGTTTGGGACCAAGATGAGCAACTGAGCAACACCCTGTCTGGAGGTAGACAGACCGACAGGCTCAGGTGTAGTTCAGTGGTAAAACACTTGCCTAGCTTGTCTGAAACCTTGGATTCAATCTCCACTCCCCTCCCACCCCCACCAAGCTAATTTTGTTGAATTATTGCTTTGAAAAGGGTCCCCGGGAGAGGCTTTGTCCAGATAAGATAATTGTAATGAGTGATTTTTTTTTCTTTGTATCAAGATCAGGCCTTTGTGACACTGACTACAAACGATGCCTACGCCAAAGGTGCCCTGGTCCTAGGCTCTTCTCTGAAACACCACAGGACCACCAGGAGGCTGGTTGTTCTTGCCACCCCGCAGGTCTCCGACTCTATGAGGTGAGGACCAAGCTGCCTGCCTGCCTGCCTGCCTGCCTTTGGGGACCTTAATGCCTGCCCATCTGTTCATCCTTAAGACTCTGGCATCCTTCTTCCCATTTCTGACATCAGTGGACAGTGAAGTCACATCCTTTTCAGGGTTAGGCGCTGAGTAGAGAAAGATGAAAATTGCTGAGTGAAAGACTCCTGGGTCTGAAACCTTTTAGCTCTTTGGAGCTACTCAGACCAGGCTCTCTTCTAGGATGCAGTGCTCTGGCCTTCTTCCTGGTTGCAACTAGGATAGAGAGGACTTTCTCTTCACCAGGTCTGTGACTGTCTTACTGTTTCAATCACTTCATTCCCTGCTGGACTGCACCTTTTTATCTTTACAGTTTGTGTACTCCTTTCCCAAAATGCATGAGTGGCTACAATGTTTCTCATTTTAAACCAGTAAAAGCTCCTGTAACTTTGTATACAAAGTAGCAATTTTCTCCATTGCCAGTTGACATTTGTAACCTGAAGTTCTTTATTCATAACATAATACACTGGAATCTTTATCAGAGGGCTTTCTGAACTAAGGGTTTTGCTTGGGGAAGCATCCTGAGAGGCACAAGCTGCTTGTTCAGTTTGATTTGTTGAAATTAAATTTTGATCTGAATAACTACCTGGTTCCTAAATATTAACTTTGGGGCACAGTAGCAGTTTTGTGTTGTGTTTATTTTTGCAACCTCCTATCCCATTTAGAAATTGAAACATATATATCCCAAGGGCATCTAAAAAGCAGGTATTATATATGTATGCATATATCTTCCACACTAATGGCCTTGTTTCTAAATGTTTTTTTAGAAAGATGCCAAAAAGGCTGTTTCTAATGTGTAGTCCATTAGAGAGGATGAAGTCAGGAGCCAGACCTACTCTTCTTCAGTGGTGGCTCTTGTTTCTTATCAAAAAGATCAAGCTTTGTATGTGAACTAAAGCATATTCTTTGCACAGTTTTGTAGAAAGAATGCAATACTAGTTTTTTCTACAAATCTAACATTGTTACAAAGTTTAATGATAATGTGTTTGTGCCATATATTTTCCCTCATGCTTTGGTATCTTACCTAAGTCTCCCCCACCCCCAGAAGCTCTAAAATAAAAATTTAGTTAATTCTGTGCATGGAGAAGTGTTGTACTTTATAGACTAAAGTGAGTCTCATTATGTCCAAATGGAATGATAAGCATGCAACGAATGCTGATCATATTGGATTCTTAAAAAGGGCGGGGGTTGCAAACTAGTGGCCAAGCTTTTTAACATCTTTCAGCACACAGAGCTTCAGGCAATTAGGCAATTGCTTCAGCAAGAGTGTTTAGATATAGGCTTCATTACACATATTGTATGCACATTTCTTAGTATCATTTGTAAAACATGCACTGGTCAGCAAGTATCAATTCTAAAATAGCACTGTCAAATACATAGGCTGTTGCAAAGATATACTTAATATCTTAGCCAATTAGTTTCCCAAGGTGCCTGGTATTCAGTGACACAATAAAAACTCCAAAACAACTTTCATCATAATAATGTCTTAACAGTACTTCAGTCTCACCATGAACAGTTATTACTTTAGTGAAATTAATTGCGCAGGGACCAGGGATTTAGCTCAGTGTTTCTATTGCTTGCCTTGCAAGTGCAAGGACCTGAGTTGGATCCCTGGTACAAAAAATAATAATTGCACAGGAAATGAATACAGTTTGTTCCAAAATAAATTAAGACAGATTTAAGGGTGTGTGCTATCAAGCTGAAATATTGTTCTGGTAATTGATGGATAGAGCAATAAGGCAGTGGTCTTCCATGAGACAGGTCACCTGTGAAAAGATTCTAAGTGCTGTTTTCTGGAATTTGTTTTGACAGAAAAGTTTTAGAGACAGTCTTTGATGAAGTCGTCACGGTAGATGTCTTGGATAGTGGCGATTCTGCTCACCTCACCTTAATGAAGAGGCCCGAGTTGGGTGTCACGCTGACAAAACTTCACTGCTGGTCACTTACACAGTATTCAAAGTGTGTGTTCATGGATGCAGACACACTGGTGAGTGTGGCTTTGAGGGCTGGCTGGGAAGATGTACATAGCATTGGAGACCTGGTAGGCATTTGAGGAATGCTCTCAAGACTTGAGCATAAAGTTCAGATAAAAACAGTGTCATACAAAGTGTCTAAGTGATGGAGAGTAGTTCCAGGCTGCCTTGTAGCTGTCGTCTGTTATGTTAGAATTTCAGAAAAATGCTCCAGCAAAACATTTCTGTAATGCCTTCCTCCCCTTTCAATTAGGTCCTAGCAAATATTGATGATCTTTTTGAGAGAGAAGAATTGTCAGCAGCACCAGACCCAGGGTGGCCTGACTGCTTCAACTCCGGAGTCTTTGTCTATCAGCCCTCAGTTGAAACATACAGCCAGCTGTTGAACCTTGCTGCTGAACAAGGTAGCTTTGATGGTATGTACCTGCTATATTCATGTCTGAGGTTTCCAGGGGCTCTGGTTCTCAGAGGTGTAACTGCTGGAATTTTTTGTTCTGGAGTGTAAATGAGATGCAGCAAGCAATTTAAATTGTGTTTTTTGGAAATACTGGTGGGTGTGTGCGTGCGTGTGTGTATACATACATACACATGCATCTTTTTTTTCCCTGTAGATGAATAAGATTAACCAAAACTGAGGTAGAAAAATTCATAAGGCTTGCCATTAAATGGCTTAAATTATAATATGATAAATGTACAATGATTATTCAAAAATAAAAAATACTTGACAAACAACAAACTTTCTGACATTAGGGCTGAGAGTATAACTATGCCTGCCTAGCATACACAAGGTCCTGGCTTCAGTCCCCAGCACAGAAAACAAAATAAAACAACAATAAGAGCACTCAATTTCCATCTCTAAACCTGGGTAAACTTCCACTCAAGAGGGTCTGACAGCCATTGTTAATATGAGGATGAAGCCTCTATGGAAATTTGGGGAATAAGCTTGATAATTTGGTTGTCATCCTCTTTGGAGACTTTAAAAGTGAAGACAGACAGTTTGTGGGCCTGATCTTTGCTTCCAAACTCACATTTTCTTAAAGCTTTTGTCAGCTCACGTTGTGCCTGCAAAGCTGAAGAGCAGAGCACAGACAAGTTGGAGAGCATTCGCTGTAGTGTACACGGGCGCATAGCCTTTGGGAAATTTTTTTCTGTTCTTTTTAAAAAAAAATCAAACCCAAGGAATCACATATGTTGAGCCAGTGCTCTACTGCTGGTGAATTTTGATTAAATAAATAAGCATTCTTCCATGTCAAGTTGATCTCTGAAATAATAAGCCATTTTTTAAAAGACAAACCAAAACCACACAAGATGAAATGAGTAGTTCTTTAAAAAATTAATTTTGGTGATTCTTTTAGAAAAAGAAAATATTCAAAGAAAGTATACAAAGAAAGAAGGACACGCTGTAAGAAGCTGGCCAAGCAGTGACTTAACGTGTGATATGTGACACTGTGGCAGCAGAGAGTGGCATGAGGGGCTTTTTCCTTCTTTGTTCTCTCTCTAGAAAATCTGAGACTTGCAATAATGCATACATCTTTTTAGAATTAGCAAAACAAGCTTTTTTCAATATACATAAGATTCAGCCCTGTGTGCTGAAAAAAGATGCATTTCTATTAAGTAGTTATAAAGTTTAAAAATTTAAACTTTTTAAAAGAATAAATCTAATGAATTATTAGATTACTTTAGAAACTAAAGCTTAAAACATTTCAAAGTATACGTAAAGGCTGAGGCAGGAGGATCACCATGCGTTCAAGGCCAGCCTGGGATACATAGGCCCTGCCTCAAAAAACCAAAACGAACAATCCAAGTATACATAAAACTGAAACTGGGTTTTTGTTCTTGCTGTTCACAAAATTGAATTCTGTGTTTAGTCATTTATTTTGAATTTGGAATTTCGTAGCTATATGACATCTCATTGAAAGAGATAAGGAAGTTTTAAGTTTCAATCTTATTTCACTGTTTGGCTGGTTTATATTCTAAGCCAGTAGTTTGGAATCAGGAGCAATTCTGGGATGATTTTTAATGTCTGGAGGCATTTTTGTCTTTACTGAGGGAGGGCAGGTGCTGTGGTATCTGGCAAATAGAAGCCAGGGATGCAGCAAAACGTCCTGCAGCACATAGGACAGCCCTTCACAGCAAAGATTTATCCCACCCGCAATGTCACTGATGCTGCTGAGAAGTTCCTCTATGCTAAGGCATTAAATGCTCTAAAATAGAACAGAAGTATCCGACCACAATGAATGGCTGCATCTGACAAGAAGTGGAGTCTTGTTTTATATTTTTTGTTTTACTTTTTTGGTGTTGGGATGGAACTTGGGTCCTTGCACTTGCAAGGCAGGCGGCGGCACCCCTGAGCTAAATCTCTGGTCCTGTAGTCTTGTTTTAAATAAGCCAAGTAAGAAAATAACATGTTGAGTATTCAATGTGTTCATTTTACCAACATGTTTTTAGATCTTGCTATTTTCCTTTCATTTAAGGAATGAAAGCTGTATTAGTATTCAAGTTCAGAGCATGTATCATTTCTACTGCTTATACAGAAACCATTGCCTTTGCATAAAAGGAAGAGGAGAGTAGTTTTAGCAGAAGTCCACTATTTGTCTTAACCTTCCTGCCAGAGTGTGACTTTCTTCACCTCCTCTCCTAATTTGAAGGAAGTAAATGCAATTCAGCCAGACATTCAGTGCACCTGTTCTCAATTTCAGTAAGCGACAGTAGGTGAATCACATTCTAAATAGATCTAGTGGCCTGCCAGCTGCCTGAAATCCATGTGATTTTAATCTGAAAAGAGAATCTAGTTTCTAACCTAGAAAAGTATTACATGTTGTTATTGGGAGATAAGAATTTAGATACCAAACAGCGGTGTGCCACAGTAAATTATCCATAGTGCAATTTTAGAATATGAAACTGGGGGAGACCAGCCTGGACCATCTCCTGTGTCCTAGAGTCTAGAGGCGCGATGGATTTGTTGTTAAAGCAGCCTCAAAGTGTGCACAGTGCTGAACTAGAAAGCACTTTCTGCTTTTTCAGCCAGACCCTGAAACCACTGTGAGAATCTCCCTGTGCCTGCTGGCATGGTTCATTATTCAGCAGCAGGGTGTCCAGGCACTGCCCCTCCTCACAGGTATTCCATTTACTAGTTGGTTGTAGTGAAGGATTAATTTTTCTCTCTTAATAGATACGCTTAGTTGAAAGAATGAAACAGTTATCTCTACAGATGAGATCTTAGTTCTCAGTGTAGTTGAAGCATAAACTAGTGGCTCTTAAATGAAAAGTTGTTTCCACTTGAAATACGTGCTACTGAGCTTTACTTATATAAAAAAAAAAAAAAAAACC